GGTTTTTGTATTTAATTTCAAAAATTAATTTATTATAACTATAGTTAATTAGTTTTAATTAATTAATTATAAATATAATTAATTGATTATAAACATAATTAATTAATTATAAACATAATCAATTAATTATAAACATAATTATTTAATTATAAACATAATTATTTAATTATAAACATAATTAATTAATTATAAATTTAATTAATTAATTAATTATAATTATAATCAATTAGTTTCGTATAAATAATTAATAAATATTTTATTGCGTTTTCAAAAGTAGTTAACTAATCATAATTAATTAATTAAAATTAGTTAACTTTAATTAATTAGGTAACTATAACCAATTAATTAATTCTCGAACCGAGCGACTTTTTTTTTCATTTCTAACAAAAAATATTGAAGTTGTTAACGTCAGAATTATATAAATTTATTGATTGTCTTTCAATTGGTAATTATATTTTGCCACCACATTTAAATTATTACTAACTTTATATTTTTTGGAAATGTAATAATTCGCATAATATATCATACAAATTAATCTCCTGTAATTTTGTTCAGAAATAATTATTATTTAAAAATTTATTTCAGCCATATTTTAATAGAGGTAATATTAAATTATTCCACTTATTGCATAATGAATGTTATGTTTTACCTGTTTTAGGCTTTATAAATAATTTAATAATATTTATATACAGGGTAATTCACTAACTAAGATGAAATTACGTAAATCAAAGATATATTTGTTTTTTTTTAAATAGTTACACTTTTTTAAAAATACTCTACTATTAGTATTTTTTCGGAGAAAAATAAACCAAATTAAAACATCACCCTGTAGAAAGTGTTATAATAATCAACAGTTAAAAATATTAAAAATTCTCATTAAAGTTTGCTGAGCTCAAATATTATTTAAAAATCTAATTAACAATAATTATATATTTTATATCAAGAATTTTTAGATATTGGAAAAAATATTATTTTAACCAGGTTTTCATTCTCATAATTATTATTAAAGTAAATTACAAAATAAACTGTGAATACCGTTTTTTTTTCGATAAATTCGCTAAAGTTGATTGTTTTTTTTTATAAACCCATTCTATAAAGTCTTTGGTTCGACCTTTTTATTAGTACTGTATAATCGAAAAAAAGGCGTCAAAGACAGCTGGGAAATGACAATCGATGATAATTTTGGAGAGGTCAATCTGAAGTAGACGTCATTTTTTCTCGAGTTTTAAACTACACCATTTAAAAATCATTTTTACTCAATACAAAAATTAAATTATAACCTACTTAAGACCAACTGACTGATGTTTAGGGCTTGACCTTGCCAAAATTGTGATCGATTTTCATTCCCCGGCCGTCCTTGACGCCGTTTTTTTTCGATCATATTTTATTTTGCGATGTATAATCTTTATTTTTTGTCTTCATGTGAACAATAGGTAACAACTGTTAAAAAGACATGTATCTATATTTTTTTCCCTAAAATATTCGTATTACCTATTGTTTTTAACGTAAAACCTTACATCCTAAATGTGCAAAAGCGTATATTAAATCTGTTTTAATAAGATTATAAAGTTATTCATAAGAGAAATTGATTGAAATTGTACTCTAAAAAATGAATCTTTATATGATTTTTAGGAGAGCCTGGACTAAAATGCTATTTCAACGCCTACCATGACAATATTTTTTTCATAAAGATTCACTTTTCAGTAAAATTGTTTTAAAAATAAAATATATGAATTAAGAAAAAAATAATTATTGATAAAAAACTACTAAAAATTCGTTTAAAATCATCTAAAACAAGGAACATATAAGCGTTGTAAAATGTGCACGAGTAAGTTACATTCCATCATCAGTTTTTTTTACATACAGACAGCAATATTGACTGTGTATATATCACTTGACATTTATACCAACGATATGTATGAGTTCACTTTTTAGTATATAAGGTATATATAATATTCTCATAGAAAATACATGAGATACATAAATCATTTGACGATATATTATATAAACAACATTGATTTATATAGGTTGATTCTTAAATATGTTTAAATATTTATCTGGTTAGATCACAAAATTTTTTTGAAAATATTAAGGTTTCCTTTTTTTGAAACCTCTACAACCTGTGAAAATATTTACACTGGTTTAAGAAACACCCTGTATCGTATAAATGTCAAATACAACACGAAAAACACTCACATTTATAGATACCATCGTTTACATCGAGTGCAGTATTTCGTAAAGTGTACAATAATGAGTGTGTAGTGAAAATTTCTTCTTTGAACATCTCTTTTTGTTTTCTGCTTTTTTTTACAATCATATAAATATAATATATTTCTATATTTGTTATGTTAACACGGAATATATTTTTGTTCAAAAACTTTTTTCTCTAATATCTTCTTTTTAATAATAATATAACTGAAAAATACGATTTCTTTACCCTGCAAACTATCTCCTAGTATGCTTTATATTTTTTTTTGGTTTTGAAAGAATATTTTAAAATATCTCTATGAATTTTTCTGCCAGGAATAGAAGTTCTTATCTTTAGGCAAAGAAAGAAAATGCTGGAAAAATGGTTTCTACGGAGCGAATGCAGTAAGTATTTTCTGAAAAACTCTCAGAACTTGCATTTATATTTAACTGAAGAGTTTAGGAGGAATTAGGCCAGTTGATATCATTTTAAGACGTTTTTATTCCCTAAAAGAAATAATTTATTGTTTTATTATGGAGAAAAATGATACTTTTTATGGCGACACAAAAAAATGTTATTTTTTACTCCGAATAGGACATGCTATTTTTTTTTCAAACGTCACAAATAATTTTTTAAACCATTTCAAACGTTGCAAATATAAAAAAAGATTTAAAAGTAATACCTTGTAAGTAATTATATATCGAGAAACTATGGTTACACTTGTTGAATTTGACACTTTATGTCAGTTTCATAATATATCTTCGTACTTTTGTTCTTACGCGTAAAAATGCTCTACTTTTATGCCTAGGCGTTAATAGTTATTTTTTATACAAGACGATAAAATGGTATTTTATCGTCTGGACGATAATGCAATTTTATCGTCGTGTATAAAATAATATTATTTTCTCTAGCGAGTTACGTTTTAAAAAATATTCAGAAATTATTATTTAAAGGAATTTATTACGAGTAGAAAAAATATTGAGCTGGGTTGGCGTTGGTTTCAATGTAATTTGACAAATAAATAAAGCTGTCTCTTTAGTTGTCAGTTTTGAGTCAATATTTTTTAATTCTCTTTCGTGTCGATTGCTGATTGAATTGGAACCAGAAATGGCTCAAAACGAAATAAGTAAATTACCCACAGATATTCAGGATGAGGCGAAAAACGCCATATCCAAACTGCTTTCATTTAAATCCCGAATAACTTATGAAAAGGAATACAACAATTTTCAAAAATGGAAGCAATTAAAAAACGTGCGAGAAGAAATAAAGTTTTTAACCTATCCTCGATGTCAAAATATCGTTTAATCTACCCTTGGGTTAAAGCACAAAACATCCCCCTTTAGAACTTCGTCTGTCATGTTAAGAAATGAAAGTAAATAATAAAGCGCCTCTCGTGTTTGTTCGCACTCAAAACATTTCAATTAATGCCTGTTTGTATTTTTAATATATTTTTTAAATTTACATTTTTTTTAATTGTAAAGTAATATATTACATTTAAATGGAATATATTACATAACAATTATGTCAATTACAGGATTACAAGCTTGTTTTCTAACATTGTTTTAATAAAACGAATTATAAAATTTCAATATATGTATATTTGTCGTAGATATGAAAAAAGTAAAATATAAAATGGACAAACGCTTACTTACATTGCAATAAAACTTCCACTTTTAGTTTTGCAATCCAAACGCAATATTTCTATTTCACAAATAAAAATATCCGACAACACTAAAATCACTGAAACTTCCGCGGCTGACAACGAAAACTGAAAAATATAACGGCACTTTTTGTTTTGTACCTGAATATCAACATTACGCTGTACTATTATGTGTTTGTTGTTGAAATAATATAAAATATCTAATTATAACTTGTAAATTTTAATATTTTAACATGATTTTAACTACTTTTGACAAAAACTAACTTTTTGTTATCAAGATGACATTTTAGACGGCAACTGACATATATGTCATAATATTTGAATCTTAAATATGTATGTAATATAATTTAAATTACTATAATGCAGCTTTATACTAAGAAAACATTTATACATTCACAAAATACAACAAAGTCTAATAATATAATTTGAAAACAATGAATATTGAATTAAAATTGAAAAAGTTAAGCGCGACCCCTTGTGTCAAAATTAGATGATTAAATTTTCGCAATTTTTACACCATTTGATGACCGGTGGCGCCTCTAGTGTTTGTTCGGACGGTTGGTCTTTTACTCCCGCTTATGGCCATTAAAGAAAAAGTTCTAAAGGGGGATGTTTTGTGGGTTAAAGTACTATTTTATCTACTATTTTTGATAGATATGAGGCAATTTTAACAGTTGCTATGGAAAAAATATGTTTTAAATAGATTGTATGTTTTCCTAAACAAGGAACTATAATCATAAATGTTTCCAGGCTTGTATATAAACTTGTTTACTCCAGTTTATTAAAACTCTCCGTAATTAAATTTTGTTTAAATTACAACTAACCACGATTTAACACGTTTGTGCTTTGTATATTCAATGTAATTAAGTAAAACAGCATTAACGAAGAGAAATTGCGAATCATATACAGCGATATTATGCAGGATATATTTATTTTATATAGAAACGTATTTTTGATTTTCTGAGTGTTTTTTTTTGAATATACTTACTGTATTAGCATATTACAATAATTGTTACTAAATAAATTTCGCAATAAAATTATGTTAAAATTTCGCAAAACTTAACAACCCGGTAGAAAAATAGCTTTAAACTCTTTTAACCAATCAAAATGTACAGAATATACCTTAAAATTTGCAATATTTATCTTTCTTACAGTTGGTACGTCGTCAGGACTAGGATTACCAATAGAATGACGTGAAATCTTAAAAATTGAGACGAAGATGCTGCTTCTACAGGAGATGGTAGAGCAGGGCTTTCTATTTCTAATATTTCGACTACAAACAAACAAAAAAATTGGTTAGGACCATTATACATAAAATTATCACGAAAATAATACAAGAGCAAGTTTATTCTGTACTTACTCAGTGCGGTGCTGTTTCTGATATCAGCATAGTCGCTGTCTTTGCTGACATATCCTGGAATGGTTGCCACACACGTCAGTCTCAGTCTGCCGTCTTCGCCGGCATGTAGCTGGGATACTTCTATGGATAGTTGCTTGATCGAGGGTGCTTTTGTTTCGAAGTATCCATGGCCATGTACGATACCATTTGAGTAGGATTTTGTCAGTGAATCTCTCACCTGTAATAGTATGATACGTGTAGTTTATTTTTTAGTTACTATCGATATACTAAGGGCTGGGAAAGGTTAGTTTTGTGTCGAGATTTCCGTATGTAAGAAGAGTACGATGCGTTTCTAAAGTACTGAACAAAGAGAAAACAGTAAAAACGTTGCCAAATGTATGAAATAAACCGCGAAACTGTGCACATTGCTAAGATACGTGGAAGACTAAGAGACGTTTTTTCAAAAACTTTCTTAATATTTCTGCTATATTTTCTTCGCAGACAGCATGTGAAAATCTTTATAAATAAGAAATTTTTTTGCTTTCCATCAAATCAATAAAATGAAAAATATACGAAATAATATACATGTTCTGATTTCTTTCGAAAATCGACATCTATGAAAATATGAACCCTTCCTGGACACAAACAGTACATCGTGAGACAGAAAATTGTAGAGAGAAACGAGCTCTATAACATAGGATACAACATTTTAATGAACAGTGCTTTTCATAAAATCAATAAAATGAAAAATATACGAAATAAAATAAATGTACTGATTTCTTTCGAAAATCGACAACTATGAAAATATGAACCCTTCCTGGACACAAACGGTACATTGTGAGACAGGAAATTGTAGAGAGAAACAAGCCGTATAACATAGGATACAACATTTTAATGAACAGTGCTTTCCATAAAATCAATAAAATGAAAAATATACGAAATAATATACATGTTCTGATTTCTTTCAAAAATCGACATCTATGAAACCATGAACTCTTCCTGGACACAAACGGTACATTGTGAGACAGGAAATTGTAGAGAGAAACAAAACCTATAACATAGGATACAACATTTTAATGAACAGTGCTTTCTATAAAATAAATAAAATAAAAAATATACGAAATATAATAAATGTACCGATTTCTTTCGAAAATCTTTTCTAAATTTTTTTTTTTAAATTAGCGGTTTGCGATCGTGATTTTACTTTACTTGATAGGAAAAGGCGTACCGGAGAAATGTGGCAACGCCGCAACATTTCTCTCACTCCGACTTAACAAGATCCCTATGCGATTTACTTCCACACATATAAATACTGACCCAAAATTAAGAGTTGCCAGCACGGTATAATCAAGGGGCCAATTCTATGTTTTTGACATGTCAACAAGTGTGACATAATAGCTTTTTTACAAGTGAAGCATTGTTTACACCAAAAAAAAATCCCATGTAATAAGCCTGTCAAAAAAACCTAAACTAACCACAAGAAAAAACGCAAAAATGTATTATAAGTTAAATTAAAACAGAAGAAAAAAGAAAATTAGATTTTCTTTGAGAAGACAAAAAGAAAAAAACTTCTCGACTGTCTAAATTTTTTCTCCATAATTTTTCAGCTCTTTCTAATTACTTCAAAACTTTCTCTCAAGTAGTTCAAGCTTTTTTTCCTTTATTTCTTTCATCAATTTATCAATCTTATTTTATATTAAAAAAAACAAATTTTTGAAGCTTAAAAGAAAATTTTTGCTGCTTTATAAATCCAATCCATAATTGAACAGGAAATAAAATTTTAAATTTTTTATTTTAGTGAGAATTACAACAAAAAATAGGGCAATCCGGTTTTATTATTCCACACAGGCATATTCCAGTTAAATAATCACATCTGGACTCGCGGAGTTACACTTGTCTGGAATTTGTAACTAGCCAGTTAGTTTTTGCTTTGGCTGGTTCGTATGGAGGCTGTGCTCAAGCTTTTTACTCTTAGGAAATCTTGGTAATGATATTAATGTATCTAAAATTTCATTGCATATAAATAAGAGACTTTTTTGTTCGTTTTATATTATTTTTTTACATAAATATCTAGATAAATGAAACAAAGTTGGGTTAGTTTATTAAAGGTGCTTATTAAACCTTTTTTTTATTAAAAATTAATATCAATTACCTTTTCGTCGTTCATCAGCCAGGTAATATGCGGAGGAGGTTTTGCAGGAGCTGTGGTACAGTTGGCCTTTAAGGTCTCTCCAACAAAATATGTTTCTTTCTCGAAGGTGATCTTTGGGTCATACTCTTGTGGATCTATATACAAAAAAGTCATCTTTATAACTATTTCAGTCAACGCTAAAAGACTAACAGAAATTCTTAAGTAACTTAAACTAAATTAACTGTAACTCCTTGACTAAATTCAGTGATAAAAAACATGTTCTTTTATTTTTAATTTTTTTTTATGGTTTACACTTTTATGGTTCTACATAGTGGTACCATACACGTTAATGGTACTCCTCCGACTTGTAGCACATAATAATAGTTATTAATGTTTAAGTACCATGTTTTTATTAGTTCTGTGGTTCTTATCTTTTGTACTAGGTGAAAAGAGCTTTTCTTATTTTTTATAAAAATAAACACCGGTTCACCTTTAAAACTTGTTTTAAATATTAATGGTTTTTAAACACTTGTTTTTTTAACAAAATGTTTAAAACATGAGAACTCTGGTTATATGTATTAGTGGATATACAGGGTGGTCCTAATTGTATTCTGGAAACTTCGGCAGCATATTCTGCAGATAAAAATAAGTCAAAAAGTTCGTATAAATGTATACCCTAAAATGCTTAGTTTCAGAAATACAGGGTGTAGAAGTTTTATTTTTATTTCGATTTTTTCCAGATAATTTATGAAGTAACGTCAATATTTGGATAAAAATTGGTGTCTGGGAGTTTTTTGGCATGAGAAATTCGATTTTGATGTCAATATGACTCCTACTTGTAGAGGGCGCCACCTACATATTTTTAACTGATTTGAAGAGTAATAACTTTTTGTCTGTACCTGTATAAAATTATTGAGTAAAAGAATATACATTTACGGCGTTTTTTACGTAAAAAAGGTCTCTTGGTAAAAATCGCTACAAGTCATGGTTATCGAGATATTTGGAATCGAAATAATCAAAATCAAATTTCTCATGTCAAAAAACCCCAAGATACCAATTTTCATTCAAATATTGACGTTACTTCCTAAATTATTTAGAAAAAATAGAAATACAAATGAAATTTCTACACCCTGTATCTCCGAGACTAAGCATTTTAGGACATACATTTATACGAACTTTTTTACTGATTTTTATCTGCAGAATATGCTGCCGAAGTTTCCGGAATAGAGTTCGGACCACCCTGTATAGAGCAGATGTAGCTGATTTTAGTTACTCATTTATTTTCAACCACAGAACAGATACAAATTTGTATCTGTTCTGTGTTTCAACTGACATGTTCAAGTAATTGAGTAAAATTAATCATAACCAGATAAATTATGGAGTATTTTTTAAAACTTACCTATGATCGTTAAATCTTTGGATTCTGAGTCTTTAGTAAAAATACTGGGCGTTTCCATGGATACTATGCAGTAATATGATCCGCTTGCAGCAAAAGTAAGGTTGGAGAGACGAATGTGTTTTTCATCGTAGTGATCTTTCTGCAAATACAATAACAAATAAATATGTAAAATCTTTATTTCTCAGTAAATACTGTAGTAAATAAATTTAGCAGAAAATTAGAGTATTCTATTGGTTCTAAGAATATGATAACCAAACTTGTTGAGTACATAAATCTATTCTTAAAACAAATTAATACTAAATAATTTAATACTAAAATAACAGTATCCTACGTTGAATACGGGGTATTAAAATACCCTTCGTGCATAAAATATAAGTTCTAAATAGAATTGGAGTGACCTATATCCAAAATATAAACACAGCGATGCTTGGTTAAGGGATGCTGAACGGAATTTGACTTTTAATGGCCATCAAATCAGAGCTTTATCGAGTGGGCTTTGCTTAAACGGGTCCGTCTCTAAAAGACGGTCCTGATAATGAATTTTAATCTTACATAGCAAGAGAGAAATGGGACGTAAAAGGTCTGGAAATTTATAACGATTGAGGAAATAAATTTTAAATGTATTTTTTATATTATTAATGGGTGTAGCAAGCTTTAAGGATATTTTATTATACAGAGTGGTCCGAACTGTATTAAGAAAACTTTGGCAGTATATTCTGCAGATAAAATAAGTAAAGAAGTTCGTATAAATATATTAGTTTCGGAGATATAAGGTGTAGAAGTTTTATTTTTGTTCCGATTTTTATTTTGGATGAAAATTGGATGATGGATTGATATTTTGGATGAAAATTTTATTTCGATGAAAATTGGCATCTGGGAATTGTTTGACACGAGAAATTTGATTTTGTCAATATGACTCCTACTTGTAGAGGGCGCCACCTACATATTTTTTAACTGGTTTGAAGACTAATAACTATTCGTCCGTACCTGTATAAAACTACTGAGTAAAGAAAAAATATGCATTTTCCGCGTTTTTACGAAAAAAAAGTCTCTTGGTAAAAATATCTGCGAGTAAACCGTTCGAGATATTTGGAATAGGAACAGTCAATACATGTCATTATTGACAAAAAAATAAACATGTTCAGTAGATAGTTATTTGACTGAAATGATAAATTTGGGAAATTTTTATTTTTTTTAAATTAATCATCAATTTTTCTTCGAAAAAATAAACTTCATTTTTTTAGAAGAAAATTCAAAATATACTCGTTATCTAAAGCAATTTCATTTTTGCTAAATTTTACATTTTCTACAGCAAGTTTCATTAAACTTTAAACTTGAGGTCATTCCAGAACAAAAATAAAACAAATTCCAACAATGTGACCGCGAGTCGTTTATAGTTAATTACTTTAAAGCCCTCAAATAAACGTACAGTTCCCTGTAATTACCGTGAACTAAAAGTCATCAGACCCACTCTAACCACATTTTCTGTGTGTGTTTAGCTTTAGTTTCAGGCTAAACCACACAAAGAAACACAAAAAAGTAAAAAAAAAGTGAATGTAAAATTAAATGAACCGTTTTATTTTGTAGCCAATCTTTGACCAGTCAAAAAATTAAAAAGTGTTTTAAAGATTTCTTACATTAATTATTGTAATAGTTTAATAAATACATTTTTTATCTTCTATTTAAGTATATCTATGTATTTAAAAAAAAATTAGAGGTGGAGATTAATCTGATATTCTCTCAAAATATTTTTCTAAAAATTTAATTTAAATTTAATCATTCTTTTAGTCATTTTTGTAAATCTATATATCCCAAAAAGTTAATAAATCATTTAGCATTTTTTAATCCACTTAATAAATTCTGTTTTTGCAGATAACGAAAGCAGAAGTCTAGATTTGGTAACAGCATTATTTAACAAATTATATAGCTCAAGCAAAATACCGTCAGATTGGCTTAAATCAACATTCGTAACCCTGCCAAAGAAACCCAACGTCTCACAATGTGATGACTATCGGATGATAAGTCTTATGTCCCATGTCCTCAAAACCTTTCTTAGAATCATCCACACTCGAATCTACAAGAAGTGCGAAAATCAGATGAACAACACCCAGTTTGGCTTCAGAAACGGACTCGGAACGCGTGAAGCACTCTTCTCCCTAAATGTAATGACACAGAGGTGTAGAGACATGAATGTGAATGTATTTGCATGCTTCATAGACTATCGTAAGGCGTTCGACTGTGTTAATCATCAGAAGATGATCAAAATTCTAAGAACAACCGGAGTTGACGAACAAGACCTACGTTTCATATCAGAACTTTATTTGCATCAAACGGCGGTAGTTGAGATGAAGCAGTCAACATCGGAAGACATACAAATCAGACGGGGTGTTCGGCAGGGTTGCGTCTTGTCTCCGCTCCTGTTTAACCTGTACTCGGAGACTATATTTAGAGAAGCACTGGATCGAATCCAGGGCGGAATCAAGTTCAATGGAATCCCAATAAACAATATCAGATATGCCGATGATACGGTTATAATAGCCAACGATATACAAGAACTGCAAAGCATTATAAATTCCGTAGTCCACTATAGTGAGATGTTTGGACTGCATCTCAATGTCTCCAAGACCAAACTATTGGTCTTTCTAAGACTCAATAAATGCACACCTGCGTGTCAAGGGACAAACAATCGAACAAGTGACCTCATTAAAGTATTTAGGAGCTAACATCAATAGTCAGTGCGACCCGAAAAGAGAAATATTTTCAAGAATTGAGCAAGCGAGAAAAATCTTCGTGAGAATGAAATCATTTTTTACAAGAAGAGACCTCAGTGCGGATCTCAGAACTCGAATGGTCAGATGCTACGTCTTCTCTGTGTTACTCTATGGATGTGAGAGCTGGATACTGGATTCACAAACCGAGAAGAGAATAGAAGCCTTCGAAATGCATATATACAGACGGATGCTGCGAATCTCATGGGTACAAAGGATCACCAACAATGAAGTAATGCAGCCCATGCAGAAACAAAAAGAGATACTGAACAACAATCATCATAACTAAACGATAAATAAAAGAAAATGTTTAATACAATCTAATACAAATTAATGTACTGCTCAGGCATCTGTAGAGGTTAGTAATGTATGGCTACCTATCTTTGATTTTAATGAACATAAGTAAAAATTAAAAACCAATAAAAAATGATAATAAAATAATATCTCTATAGTGTGCCTATGTAAATAAAATAATTGTTTCTGTTTGCATACGTTTTTAAAATGGATTGTCAAAAAAAAAACGGGGAAGAAGAATTAAGAAGAAGAGGAAAAAACGAAGATAAGAAGAAGAAAACGAAAAAGAAAAAAAGAAAGGAGTTATGGAAAAATCTAACAAAAATATTACTTTAAAACATGATTTTTCAGACTGAGATCGGGTATCTAAAGATGCACTCTACGATTTTATGACCTCGGTTACCTTCAAATCTAAGCTAATTAGACCTATACTAGCCTTAATCGATCTAACTTACGTGTAACTTCGCCCCAGGTATTTCCCAGGCCCTAAAAGCCGGTTTCCGTCCCTTAACGTACTGGACCAGTTTGTCCTCGCCCTTCAGCCATTCCACCTTATGCAAGTGTTCCGGTTTCACACTGTAGTTGCAGCGAAGGGTTACGCTACCTCCCTTGACGGCGTACCTGGGCATTTCTAGTTCGAGATGCTCAATGTTGCACAACACTCCTGAAACAAGTGAATTCATTGTTAGTTTCTGACTACTTTGTAGCTCTATATGTATAAAAACAATTGAATACGTCAATCAATCCTGATTTATGTCATATTTTAGAATTTTAGAATTTAGAATGAGTGGGAGGGGGGTTAATCACTTCGACCTTACAGATCCATTGTGTCCCCCTTTCTTGAATCATAACTCATCATACAGTCCCATGGCTTTGACAAAAGCCAGTATCTGGGACGGTTTTATAGAGGGTAGTTCTCTATCTCCAATATCAGTCGTACCAAAATTCATGGCACGAATGGTTGTCGTCTCGGCGCACTCAGTGATGAGGTGTACTGGTGTTTCACCATCTTCCCCACAGAATCTGCATTCGCCGTTTCTTAGTTTCAATCTACTGAGGTGTTCATTGAGGAGACAGTGTCCTGTTAAAAACCCCGTGACAATCCGAAGATTGTTCTTACTCAGACCCAGGAAGATCTGTGATTTTTCTTGATCATAAGCCCTCAGAAACTTCTTCGAGTGTCCTAGACCATTGCAAGATTTCCATTCCAGGTTGCGGATGGAATCTTCCAAGTTCTTGAGTTCCTCCTTGAGTTGGTTACCACTTGGAAAGCAGAACGGTTCTGGTCCAGTTAGTGGAGTGTTCGCTCCTTTTCTACCTAGATTATTTGCTTTTTCATTGCCTTTTATCCCTTGGTGAGCAGGCACCCAGTGTAGGAGGACTTTGTTTTCTTTGCCTAATTTATTCAGCTTCTCTATGTATTCTTTGACCAATTTCGAATTGATTGAGACTGAGTTGATCGCCTTTAACGCTGCTTGACTATCAGATAAGATGGCTATTTCTTGTTTCCGATAGTTCCTATCTAAGATAAGTTGTACGCATCTCTCGATAGCGTAGATTTCTGCCTGTAGGATACTAGGGTAAGTGCCCATTGGTTCGGAATATTTAGTTCTCGACCCAAATACTCCGATCCCTGTTCCCGTATTGGTTTTGGAAGCATCAGTATATCAAGTTATGGTATGGTCGGTATGGTCTTTTAACTGCTGGGCAAGCGTTTCGCTCTTCCAATCCTTCTTATTGCTCAATACTACATTGACATGTTTGTCAAAGTTGTACGTTCTTGGCATATCGTCCACTGGGAGTTGCAGGAGTAGTATTTCCTTTTTGAGGGTGTTCCAAGCCCCTGATCTGACAATTCTCCCAGTACTAATTCCGTTAGTGACCATTCTAATCATTGTCGCATTGGCATATCTACCAATGACAATGTGCAGTGTTGTTAGATCTAGAATGACCTCCATTGCTGCTGTTGGACAGGTTCTCATGGCTCATGTGATGCAAACACATGCTAGTCTCTGGACTTTGCATAGGTTTAGCCTTGCCGTCCGTTGCTCTAGTTTTGTGTACCAGGCAACTGCTCCATAAGTAATCATGGGTCTTACTATCATGGTATACATCCAGCGCAAAATGTTAGGGGAGCAGCCCCATCTATTTATTTATGTCATGTACTAACACACGAAATCTTGATATTTTGTGTGAAAAAATAAAAAAGTTATAGGGGTGGGCCACTTTTGGAGAACACCCGGTATAATCATCTTTTAGTAATACATCTTATATTTAAATAGTTCAAAAACTAATTAAAAACAAAAATACAAACAGCAATAAACTTTCTTCCCGAAAGATTAAAATTTCCAACACGCATTTATTAGGGTAAACCCACATTATTACGCCGTCTACAAGTCCCACAGGGAAACATAACGAAATATGAAAAATTATCTCATTAAAGTGTATGTTTATTTTGTCCCATATCATATTCCACAACACCCTTGCGCTGTAAAGAGCTAACAACGTTGTAAAAGTAATGGTCCATCATAAACCCTAATATTATGAAAAAAAACGACATTTTATTTTTGACACTTTTAGTTAATATGAAAAAAAGAGAGATTTTGAGAAAGGCAGTAAAAAATCTAAAAAAAATTAAAGTGTCACTCGCAAAAGATATTGATAAAAAAACTAACGGGATATCATCAATCACTTTAGACTTTTTAATCAATTATTAAAGATCGTGAAGTCTATCGATTACTTGGAAGATTAAAAAACTGTTTTGAAATACTTTACGGAGTTTATTTTCTTTGTTTTATCTCGATTTGTCCTTTAAGCGTCCGTTTTTTAGTCTGTCGGGGAGGAAAGATATAAATAAGGAAAGTTTTTGCTCGGTTGTAACTAATGGCCTGTGCTGTTTGTGTAATAGCAACTAACTTTTTCTATTATTTATGTTTCGAAAAAAGAAAAAGGATATGAACAGAAGTATAATTACTGAAATATATAGTCGTTATACTAAATTAAAATTTGTTATATTTTTATTTAAACATAATTCAAATTCAAATTTCTTTATTAGACCCCATTAAGTTTTACAGAATAATATTAGTATTAATAAATGTGTGACCCCAAATACAAAACAGAAATAAATTAAATTATAGAAATAAACGAAATTAAAAAAATTAAAATTATATAAAAAAAGTGAAAATATAATTTTATCAGGGATGAGCGGAGATAAGCAGAGAGGCATAATGAAACAGTGTAAAAACCGGAACAGCAACCAATGACGGGCATATCAGAAGAACAAGATCTCACAAATCAGTCGAAGAAATTATAATATTTACGAATTTAGTAAATGATTTTTAATTTGTTTTTTATAATCTGTAAAGGATTGAAATTTAAAGTTATTAGAAATATTATTCCACAAATGTGGCGCCATGAAATTTTTGGAAGTTAGCTGTTCGGTGTTGAGGAATTTTAAAATAATGCACTTGTCTAGTCGAATGATCATGGTCAACGTAGTGAAACAATGAGAACAAATAGGGAGGCTGCTTGTCATTAAATGAAATTGTCGTCTGTTAGTCATGGATAAAATAGATAAATTTTTAAGATGTGGCGTTATATGATCTCTAAAAGGAATGTTAAAAGAAAACCGTAGACACGAGTTTTGAAGTATTTGGATTTTTCTAGAGAATCTAGCGTTTATGGATGTACCATAAACAACATCGCCATAATCAAATAAAGATAAAATAAGTGTGTCACATAATTGATACTTAGTCTTTGATGGTATATATTTCTTAAGAGACGAAAAATTCTTCAACCGTATATAAGCAGCCTTTAATTTAGTAGTTATATGTGCCTGAAAAGAAAGCTTCGCATCAAAATAGACTCCAAGATTTTTAGTCTCTGTAACAATGGGTATCGCAACATTATCTATATGGATATTCATGTTACCAGCCGTATTTGTAATTTTGTTTATATCACTACCAAATACTATAACACAAGATTTACCGGCATTTAATTTCAAATTATGATCCAGAGCATATTTATTAATTTTATTAAGATCGTCGTTAAAATTTAACTGAAGTTGTGCCAAATTATTAGTATCTATTCTGCAATAAATTTGAGAATCATCTGCATATTGCTGCAATTCAGAAAACTGTAATTCCTTATTCATATCAGCTACATATAACGAAAATAAAAGTGGCCCCAGAATAAATCCCTGAGGAACCCCAGAAATCATAGGAATATAACTAGATTTTTGTTTTAAACTTCCCCGTTTCATGACAACACAATGTGATCTATCTTATAAAAGGTTTTTTATCAATTCTAAATAGCCGTCTGAAAATCCAAAATACTGTAATTTTGCTAGGAGCAGTGAATGGTCTAGAGTATCAAATGCTTTACTAAAGTCTAGTAAGCTAAGACACGTCATATTTTTATTTTCTTGATTTGTTCTAATATCATTAACCAGCTTCAGTAAACAAGTGGTAGTGCTGTAGTTCTTACGAAAACCAGATTGGCATTCAGGTATTAGTTTATTTGAATCTACAAATGAAACGATTTGATTATATAGATGTTTTTCTATAATTTTAGAAATTGCTTAATAATTGGTAGTCATTGTCATACTTCATCGTTTTTCAACAATAATTTTTTATCAAAGCCATCTCATGAATTGTGTCTGGTATTTTTACAGTTAAAAGAAGAAAAAATATTTTATATTTTAGAAAGTTTGGCATAGAATTTTGAACACATTGTATTGTTTAAGATTACGATATTTATAGCAATATAAGCACAGAAAAGAGAAAAAACAATATGGCGATATTATTATATAACTTGGTAATATTTGAGGGGTAGTTTCATCTCGTTGGAATTTGACTTTCGAAAAATCCGTTTGCCAAAAATAAGCTTTTTAGGTCAAACAGTTTAAGCAGAATCGTGGTTAATCAATTACCCAACTTTTTTGAACACCCTGTATGATTTTTTTAAAAAATTTCAAAATATGTAAAAAACAAAATAAATTATGCGTGTCCAAGCATTTTCCCGAAAGACTAACCGTTTTTTAAATAACAAACATTGTAATATTTAAGGGGCGTTTTCACTCTCTTGGAATTTGAGATTTGAGAAACCCCTCCTTATCGAACCTCTACACCCCCCAGTCAGTCCGTTTGCCAAAAATCAGCTTTAAACGTCAAGCAGTCTAAGCAGAATCGTGATTACTCAATGGTCATATTTTATAAAACACCCTGTATAAATTTATAAAAAATCTTAAAATATATAAAACAACAAAATAAAATATAAGTGTTTAAGATTTTTTTCCGAAAAACTCACTGGTTTTTAATATTTGATTGGTGGTAGATATTTTTTATGGAAAATTATTTTTTTCAATATTTTTTTTTGTTTTCGACTATAAATTATTTGGAATTATAAAATCAGAAATATAAAGACTTAACTCTACTAATATTTTGTTACTACATCAAAAATAATTTCTTTTATAAGGCAATATGTTATAAATTTAGCAGCGCAACACGGTTTTCTATTACAAAGACAAATTGTTGAGAAACTCGGCGAATTCTCTCTTTCAACAGAATTATTTACGTTTCGTTATTTATTCGAAAGGCTCACGAGACGTTAGAGTCGAGACTCTTGTATTATTGTTAAGAAAACAGTAAAGGACTCTTTTTACCT